GGGGGGGGGGCTTCGACCTGAAAAAGGGGGCGGGGGGGGGGGCTTCGACCTGAAAAATCAGGGGTTAGGATTTGCACCCGATCGAAAGAAACCTTGCTATCGCAAGAGTAACTCCAGCTAGCTTCGCTAGCTTTCGTGAAATGAAGAAACACACGTTTACGTCCACACAGATGAGTGGCTCTTTTGGGCTTATTGGTCTTCGATGTTGGTGTGGCCCGGTGATTTCAAAGGTCCTGTGAAAGGTCTTTAGGTCGCCGGCCCAGCGTGTCAAGGGGGGGGCATTGCGATCTGTAAAATCCTGACTGATCCGAAACAAGTCCTGCCACCGCCTCCAGGCCATGTGGCTGCAAGAAGCGCGGACACATCCAACCTGATGATCAGGGCCTCATGTTGGTATCATTACTGTAGCGGATCATCCCTTCACAATCCTTATATGTATCCCATACGATTCACGATCCCTCTTCTGAATCAACTTGGCTCTTGGGGGACTGGGGGGGACCTGTTCCACAATCACAATGTCTCGCCTTGTGTTCCCATGGCGCAACAGTTTCTCCACCCAGGGAGAACCTCCCTGGAGTCCCCCTCCCTGGAACCCGGGCAGTGGCCATGTTTTGCGGCTTCATCAAGGGCATCAGCTGCAAGCCACGCTCAGCCACCTTGGAGCCAACACGGTGCCCCAGGACGCCACTGCCAGTGTCTGTCGGAGCCGGGTGGCTTGAGGATGCCTTGAGCTTAGTCCTATATGGATCCACTGCCACCCTCTGAGAGGGTCATTGGAGTCACTTTTAGGGAGGAGGATCCAAGCGAGTCCGACTGCATCCAGCGCAGCAGAAACCTGAAACCGTCGGCTCTCAGACTAGCTATTCAGCAGGGAAATTCATGCCGGTGTGCGTTGCAGATTGCATGCACCCCTTCTCATATCGCATGAGATCGGAGTCCCAAACAAAGGAAAATATACTTCAAAATCAAACTTAAGATGCGCATCTTCTCACGTCTTGGCATCAGGCCTGGACGAACCTCCGAAGACATCACACCCCAAGTGTGTAGAGAAACGTTGTTAAAGAAAGGACTAAATGCGCCAAATCGATGACCAGAATGATCGTCCACACAAGGATGTGAGTGAGAGCCTAAGGAATGGTCTTTAAAGATTTTAAAGAGGCATGCCATCCACTTCCACGTTAGTGATTCAGAGTGCATCCTGATCCATCCATCCACTACATTCCACTACCCTTCAAAATCACCACCGGGAAGTGACGATGTTCCATTTCCCTGTTAGTGAGTCAGAGTGTCAATGAATCATTTGGTTCATCTTGGGGCGCGCTGCGGGATACCTTTCATCAATGGCAGCCCAGAAAAGGAATCGCCGCAAAGCACTGCAAAACCATATCAGTCCTCCTTGCGGTATGTGTGTGTGTGCATGGGGGGGTCGGGTACGGTCAGCAAAGCTTTGCGTCCCGGACCAGCTCCCAAGGCCTCGAGGCCTGCGCAAGGAGCACCGGTTTGGATGTATCCAGTTACGAGTAGTGGGTGATGATGGTTAGTGGATGATGATGATGATGATGATGACGATGACGACGATGACGATGATGACAATT